CGAGAGAGAGAGAGAGAGAGAGAGAGAGAGAGAGAGAGAGAGACAGACTATCCAAATTAGAAAAAGTATCATGCGCGTGTCTGTACTCTGGATTGATAGAAGTTAACGGGGCTGTTACGCGAAATCAAAGCGACTCGATTACGCAGTCTTATCTAATTACTCCTTTTTGATACATGCGTTTTTTGCCGCACCACTGGGCTCGTCTTAGGCTGGCCGGCACAATTTCACAATAGTCCAGCGTACGTAATATCGATGAAGTCAATTACATAAATAGCTGCTAGGCAGTGCGCTGTTACTTCCCGAAAGTTTCCCGAGGCTATCCACGTGAATGACAATCGCCTCCTCGTAGGAATGAGGATTAACAGCCTTCAGCTTCTTTACGTAACTAATTCGCGTATTATTTTTCGTGACTAACAGGGTGCTGTTCATCGATTGTTACGTAATTATTACAATAGCTGGTAACCATGAGATCTGACAAAAAGAACGGTCCGAGTATTTACGGAGATTGAATCTCTAGGCGCTCTGGCCGACTCCATTTTCATAACATCGATTTAAAAAAAGTGTAATGCAACTGGGACGCTGATATTTTATTTATCGCGGATTTAACTTTTCCAAGGAGAGAAGAAAAGTACAAGCTTCGAAAGCGTAAATCCTACTTTCTAATAAAATTAAAGTAAAAAGCATTACCAGTTGTATATCGTCGAATATGTCCTTAAGGTCGTCCTCTATGAGTCTGTAAGGATCGATTTGGTAATCAGGCAAAGATCCAGGCATCTGTGTTTGCATAGTGCTCGTTGCCCTCGCGAGACCTATCCTGCTGTCCCGCGTGTTCGTTTTGTTCTGCAAATGGAAAAAAAAGGAAAGTTCTGTATTGCGTTAAATATTGACCATAAACTTATATTATGCCATCAGGATTAACTGCGTAATATCATCGGAACAAATGTTTACTCCGTTCAAGTATCATACATGACCGCAATCGAATATTTCTAACGCCTCGTATATATTGTCCATTTTTTTATCGTATATAACTTATTTAACTACACGGAGAAAATTTTCTTTCAAAATTCGCCCTGAAAATCATGTCATCGTGGGACAGCGTGGCATTTTGAAGAACTTTATGAGAGTTTTTCAAATTGTACCACACATTTTACAAGTAAAAAGTATGGTAAAATTTCAAAAAAACTAAAATTCTTCAAAATGCCACGTTGTCCCACGATCACATGATTTTCAGGAGAAATTTTAAGAGGAAATTCTCTCCCTGCATTATTTAATTAAATAAATTCTAAAAGGAGGACGAAAGAGCATTCTACGATGTTTTTTCAATACATACGTCAATATTACACATTTAAGATATTCGTCTAATAAAAGCCAACAAGACTAGCAACATCGCAAAAGAAATATCCGAAAAGAAATCAAAAGAATTGATTGCCAGTATTTACAGCTGTGATTTATAGCGTGTTACTGATTTTTTTTTTACATTAAACGAAGATCGGTTTCAAATCGTCGTGGAAAATGTCGCGTTAAAATAAGCCGATCGACGAAATAAAACGACAGGTGCGACAGTAGTATATGCGATATTTCTGAGCGATTATTTAACGCGCAATACCGCGCTAATGTGAGCAGAGATATTTCTCTCTCGAATACGTGTCCGACGCAACGCATGATTTACTACTGTCGCCGGTCTGACCCTATTCGAGCAACTACTACTCTTGCTTGCAACACGTCCGCCGCGTCATAGACACACTGAAAAAAATGTCTGGTTGTATATGGCCGAACCAGATAATTCCTGTAGGATTTACCAGAATTTCTGTAGGATTTACCAGAATTTCTGTAGGACTACAGTTTTAGAATTTATTTAATTAAATAATGCAGGGAGAGAATTTCCTCTTAAAATTTCTCCTGAAAATCATGTAATCGTGGGACAACGTGGCATTTTGAAGAATTTTAGTTTTTTTGAAATTTCTGTAGTCCTACAGAAATTCTGGTAAATCCTACAGAAATTCTGGTAAATCCTACAGGAATTATCTGGTTCGGCCATATACAACCAGACATTTTTTTCAGTGCAGTTCTTATCGCTCGCAAAAGAACGCGCTAATTACGATTCCCTGATTACGCGCTTCGCGAGAAGCTGATAATGAACGCCGTGCCCGTTTATATTTCAAGACGCGTTTTATAGATTATAAATACGCGTCGGGGAAAATGTCGCTAATTAGTCCTGAAAAAAAAAGAAATCTGCAGGAAAACGTTATCAGTTAGCATGCTGATAATGAGTTTCGGATGTTTTCAGACAAACATTTACAATAAAGACACATACGTAACGGAACAAAGAGGGGTCTGATAAAGCCGCTTAGTCAGGCGCTTGATTATCTTTCATATTTCTGCAGTGACCTCTCAGAAATTTTCAGATACGCGGGTATACCAGTTCTTTTTCACGCACTATCCGCACTCCCAGGATCTGGCCACGCTCGAGTTCAAGCGCGGTATTATTTGCATAAGGAGTTATTGACCGAGCCTATTTTCCCTTATAGCTGTTTTCGTAGCGGTAGAACGCAGGTGCTTACCAACACCTCGTGTTTCCCAGCGGTTTGCTGCGGAGGCGAAGGTACGGCTGCATTCTTTCGCTCTGTACACAACGACGTCCCCTTTCGTCATCGAATCTCGCGATCGATGCTCCGCGATTTCTTGGCATTCAACGTATCGTCACGGCGTACGTTCCGTAGAGAAGAGATTCTTTTACGTAATCGAGACATCATGACTTTAATGGCTATAAAAATCTGTCTTTTCAGTGCGCTTTCACGATCGCTTTTATGCCGAACGAACGCCACAAATGGTAGCAATGTACAACGCAAAATTCTACCGTAAACCGATAGAAAAAAAAAGATTACAAAATAGTACATTTAAACCTGTTATTACCGAGTCCGTTATATCATCGACATAAATATACATTAATGTGAATTTTTAGCACACCGGAGTTAATCCGATACTCATTGTCAGATTTGAATTTCAGATTAATTGTAAGACAAAATTTCAAAGATATATGTAAACATAACGATGAATTATCGTATAAGAACGGGGGTTTACCTATTCTTGCACTCTCTTGCGCGGATAAAACATACTCAAAGACAATGACGAAACTAAATAATAATTATATACATAAGCGGATAGGATACGGTTTGGTTTTTTTGAACGCAGGCAAATTACGTCTAATTTATTGAACTAATCGAGGCCGCGGCAGGCAAATAACAACACTCGCAACCTGTACTGAAGTATGTACGGACACTGTACGCCGTAATGCAATGTACGATTGCCGGCGACCGGCAACCTTGCGAATCTGGCCTGCGAGAACCTGAAAATAATTAGCTGAATTACGTTCTCATTTTTTGTTTAGCGAGCGCAGCGTATCGCAATAAACCCTTTTTTATTCTTTATACCGCGGCCTTTCAATTCCGCAAAAATAATGCGTGTCGTTAACCCAATTCGCGTGTAAACCGTGACAACTTTAACCCTGGAAAGCAACTTTTATTACAGCACTTTGCCTCGCGCTAGAATGTCGCCTGCAATCTATGTACTTGCTAACATTTTTTACACGAGCTGTATAAATTACTCGCGACTATAAACGAGAAAAAATAATTGAGCTCTAGCAGTCATGACCGGAAATCGAATCTATTCGCTCGCGCCGCAGTGCGCCTCGCGACTGCTCTTAAGCCTTGCGTCCACGACGCTAGAACTTGGTCCAAGTGAACACAGGCCTGTAAGATCGAATCAGACTAGCAAATTGCGACTCGGATTGGATTGGGATTGGCGATTGACGACTGTCGTCCAGCCAAGGAGAATCGATTAAATCGCTGACTGCTTTGCTCTCATTGGCTAGAAGACAATCGCCAATTGCCAATCCCAATTCAATCAGTGTCGACAATTGCTAGTCTGATTCGTCCCTTTAAACCTTGTGTCCGCGACGCTAGAGCTCGAGCCAAGTTCTCGATCCAAGAAGCGTGCAGCCGATCAGCTTGTGTCTTTTACGGAAAAGATCCAAGTTGGTTATACATTTCTTGAACCGAGGAACTTGGACCAAGTTCTAGCATCGTGGACACAAGGCTTTAGTCAGCGTTAACTTAACAGCAACGTGATCTCCAAATATTCTCGGAGTCCACATCTACTATCAGGGTAGACTCGCACTCTTTCCGATGTAACCCGATAGCGCTGCCACATTTATATAATACACATAAGGAAATAGGCAAAAATCTCGTAATCTTAGGTAACCTTATTTACATGCCACGATCAAATCGATGTAAATTTTAATAAATGTAAATGCGTCGATGCTGTATAATGAGAGGATAACTATCAACGTTAAGGGACGATCCCGTAGCCCAGATGTGTCGACGGTTCTTTTAAAACGATATGGACCGCAACTGTTTTTTTTTTCGTCAGGAGGATATGCAACGTTGAGCAATGATCGTGTTTAATGCGTGTCCATGCGTGTCTGACAACTTCCATGTGCTCGTACGTGTATATATATTTCCCCGCTCATTACATTCCTGGATAACTAGCCGTAGCGGCAATAGGCAAGTTCACTGCATCTGACTTTTACCGGTCTCTCGCGAGCGTGTATCCGACGTCAAGGCTAACGCCGCAGGAAATCACGAATTCGCGAAAGAGTAGCAAAAAACAAACTACCGCGGGCAACCAGCGTGAACGCGCGAAACGTTCGTCCAGCCTTAATGCCCATTACTCTTAACGATCTATTTAGTGCATTTTCCATTCGCGCAGCTGCTAATAACAGTCGCCGGTCCAATAAACGCGACGTTCCGTCGAGGCGAATGTCTACTCGGTTAGTCATTCGTACGGCGTAAAGTTTTCGACGTGTATTTTTGGAATATAACTTTCACGCGCGAGCAGATAAACGCCGGGGAAATTGGGATAACCGCGTGAGAAGATGCTGGATGTGAAAGCGGTCCATCGTCATCGTCGCGGGCGTCGCCGCGCCAGACCGCGATGTCGTCATCAATCGCCGGGGTTTTTCATTCATAAGCGCGTGATTCGCGGGAGCGATTTCAATTATCACGCGGCCGATAATGCCTTCCGCACACCCGACGCTTCATCTGCCACGCACGTAAAACGTCGCGCTGGCTCCGTCAACATGCCGATGGAAGATGCATCACGCCCGGACCTGTCGCCGCTACCGGGCGATTATGAAAGCCGTCTTGTCGCGCGACACCACGTAACAGTTAGCATAACTCCGGAGCGGGGAGCCACACTAGGCCCCGTAACCGGCATACCGGGACTCTCCGAAATCCCGCTGCTGTGCTCTCACCGGTAAATCGAAAAGCGTGACGAAGACCCATCCGCGTCCATCGCTCGCGGCCCATAAAGAAATACCGGATTGTCCCGAGAATGCTCATCGAATGTCCCTTTTAGGGCCAGTTTCACAAACACCGATTGACTGCTAACCGAAGGTTAATTGATTCTCTGCCTCTTCTTAAATAATAAGATATAAAAGGTAGGGAGTCGACTGAACCCTAGCTGACAGTTAACCGATGTTTGTGAAACTGGCCCTTACAGTTCCTTTCTTTCGCCGACGTGAGGCGATTTTTGGCGATTGTTTGGTACATACAGAGGAAAGTGTATGGGATAATGGGGTTTCTGCTAAATTAATAGGCATCGTCTGTTGGTTCAGCCATGAATTTATTGCCCTTGGACCGAAATCTATTTAGTGGAAAATTGATCGTTAGATCGCGTAATCGTTGCGAAAAAAAGATTTATGATCGAATTTGGACGTTGAAAACCTACTATCTCATAGAATCCCATCTCATAATAGAGGACTTTCCTCTACCAAAGTGGAT